TGCTCCATTCTGTCACCAACTCCCGCTGCGGGAAGGAAGGACAGCTCCCTCCTCCTCCTCTCCCTTCCCCCCCTCCTTCTGTGTCATTCCGTCTAGCCCTATCTGGGGGTGGGGTGGGGGACCCCAGAGACTGGACACCCCAGGACTTCAGCAGGGGGAGGGGTCCACAAGAGAGAGAGAAAGACAGACAGAGACCCACAGCCGCCGTACCAAGCTGTGTCCCTCAAATCCACCTCAAGGTCAGTGGCTGGGCTGGGGTGAGGGCTGGGGGAGGGGGCGGGGGGGGAAAGGGTCTCCCCCCCAACCCCAGACTCTAGATCTCAGATTCCCACCCGCACCCCCCCTCCCCCCCACACACCCCCAAGGTGGCTTTTTCCATGGTGGGGGGGGGGATTACCTGAGGCAGGTAAGGACTGGGGGGGTCCTCAGATTTGGGGTATAGGCCTGGGGAGGGGCTGGTGGGGAGGGCTAGCCAAGGAGAAGTGCCAGGCAGGGTGGGGGGGCAGGGGAGGGAGAGGGGGGCCGGCTCCTCCCCCAGAGTCCAGCTTGGGGGACCCGGCTCGGCTGGCCGGAGCTAAAATTGGAAAGCGGCTCGTGGGAGGCCGCTGACGAAGCTGTTCCACGCGGGCCCGGCGCCCTGCTCCGGTTTCAGCGCCCCGGTTCCGTGAACCCGATCCACCCCCCCTCCACCCTGCTGATAACCCAGTGTCCTGTCCCGGCAACCGTCCCACAAGTCCAGCCGGCAGCCACCCCCCCCCCTTCACCACCCATCCCTGACCTGGGCATGGTCAGGTAGCGACCTCACTTAGTCTGAGACTTCGGAGGAACTCTGTGTGTACACACACACACACACACACACACACACCTCCTCTCTATTCTTCCAGTTTTTTGTTTTTTTCTTTGCTAGTCTCAGGGCCAGCCTGGCCACCGTCCTTGAATTTTTGTATTTTGTGCTCAAGGTGGGTGCTCTACCACTTGAGCCACGGCTCCATTCCAGCTTTTTGGTGATAAAAGTCTGATGGGGACTTTTCCTACCCCAGGCTGGCTTTGAACCGTGATCCTCAGATCTCAGCCTCCTGAGTCGCTGGGATGACAGGCGGGAGCCATCGGTGCCTGGCTCAGGTCGGTCTCACCCTGGACCTGACCTTGGTCAGCACCTTGGACAGTGGCCAGCAGCCTCCCTGCCCCCCCTCCCCCGGCCTGGTCTGGCCCAGTGTGGCCCCAACACACTTCTCTGGGGCTCTCCTTAAATGGCACAACTTCCGGTGCTGGGCAGGTGGCTCAGTGGTAGAGCGCTTGCCTGCACGCATGAAGCCCTGGGTTCCATTCCCCACTCCGATAGACACAGAAAAAGCCGGAAGTGGTGCTGTGGCTCAAGTGGTAGAGCCTTGAGCTAAAGAAACTCAGGAACAGCACCCAGGCCCTGAGTTCAAGCCCTCGGACCGGCACATTTCACACACACCAGTGCGGGGTGCGGGGACTGATCCATCTCTTGGGGTCCCTGAGTGGGGCCTGGGGGCTGCAGTGCCTCAGACCGGCCTCAGCCTGGCCTCCTCCCGCAGCCCGGCCTCCTCCCGCAGCCTGGCCAGGCCATGGGTATCAAGACAGCACTGCCTGCGGCCGAGCTAGGCGTCTACTCCCTGGTGCTGAGTGGAGCTCTGGCCTACGCCGGCCAGGCTCTCCTGGAGGCGTCACAAGGTAATGCTGGGCCCCGGGGTAGGGGTGATGGGGTCCCCCACGGCCCCACCCCTCCCCCTGGGATGCAGGGGTCCCAGGAGCGGGGCTGGAAACCGGCAGGCTCCAGTCCCAAGGCAGCCAAGGCCTGGTCCAGGGGACACACAAGGACAGAGGTGCTACTGCAGAGATGTGGAGACACACACACACACACACACACCAGGACTTTAACACACACACATGCACACACAGGCCAGGACACACACACACCAGGATTCTAACACTAACATGCACACACAGATACACAGAGACCAGGACTCATATACATGGAGACCAAGACTCAACACACACACAAGACCAGGACTCTTAACACACACATACACACATGCACACACAGGCTAGGACTCACACACACATCAGGACTCTATACACATACACGGAGAGCAGGACTCAACACACACATACACACACACACATCCAGATCAGGATTCTAACACAGGCCAGGACACACATACACAAACACACACATACACACACGGAGACCAGGACTCACACAAACACATACACAGAGGCCAGGATTCTAATACATACACACAGTCCAGGACACACACACACACACACATCCAGATCAGGATTCTAACACAGTCCAGGACACACACACACACACACACACAGATCAGGATTCTAACACGCAGGACAGGACACAGACACAAACACACAGAGACCAGGACACACTCTCTCCCTCTCTCTCTCATACACACACACACAGACCAGTAGGATTCTAACACACACACGCAGGCCAGGACACACACACACACATACACACACACCAGGATTCTGCATATAGTCCAGGACACACACACACATATACACACCAATCAGGATTCTAACGTACACAGGCCAGGACACACACACACACGGAGACCAGGATTCACACACACACACAGATCCGGATTCTAATACACACAGGCCAGGACACACACACATGCACACACACACAGGAGACCAGGACTCACACACACAGAGATCAGGATTCTAATACACACAAGCCAGGACATACACACACACACACACACACACACAGATCCGGATTCTAATACACACAGGCCAGGACACACACACATGCACACACACATACAGGAGACCAGGACTCACATACAGATCAGGATTCTAATACACACAGACCAGGACACACACACACACACATGCACACACACACACACACACACAGGAGACCAGGACTCACACACACAGAGATCAGGATTCTAATACACACAGGCCAGGACACACATGCACACACACACACACACACACACACGAGACCAGGACTCACACACACAGAGATCAGGATTCTAATACACACAGGCCAGGACACACACACACACGCACACACACACACACACACACAGGAGACCAGGACTCACACAGAGATCAGGATTCTAATACACACAGGCCAGGACACACATGCACACACACACACAGACACGAGACCAAGACTCTCACACACACACAGATCCGGATTCTGATACACACAGGCCAGGACACACACACACACACAGATCAGGATTC